TGAGATTCTCGAATTCTTTCTCTTTCGATAGATTCCAGAGATTCTAATTCGTTTCTTTCATTTTCTTTTTTCAACTTATATCAAGATACTTTTGTCTCCAAATATTTCCTTCCATATAGTTTACCTTGTTTTTTTTTTTTCTTCCAGCATTTTAGTTTTTTTTCTTTTCTTGTTTTTTTTTCTTTCTTTTTTTCTTTTTTCTATTTTTTTTCTATTTTTCTTTTCTTTCTTTCTTGTCTCTTTATGAGTCATCATTTTTTTTTCTGACTTTTTTCATATTTTCGTTTCTTTATTTTCTTTATTTTCTTTTGTTTGTTTCTTTTCTTTGTTTTTTTTTGTTTCTTTCTTTCTTTCTTCCTTTCCATTATGTTCGAGTCATTTTTTATTTCTTTCTTTAAACTTTCTTTCATATTTTCCTTTCTTTTTCTTTTTTCTTTTTTTTTTTTTTTCTTTTGCTTTGCGTTATTCATTTTTTTTTTTTTTTCTTTTCTTTTTCATTTCTTTTTCCATTTCATTTTTTCTTTTTTTTCTTTCTTTCTTTCTTTCTTTCTTTCTCATAGTTTACCTTGCCTTCTTCTTTCCTTCCAGCTTCTCTTCCTTAACCTGTCCATCGTTCTTTTCTTTCTTTCTTTCTTTCTTTCTTTCTTTCTTTCTTTCTTTCTTTCTTTCTTTCCTTCCAGCTTCTCTTCTTTTTTTTTCTTTTTTCTTTCTTTCTTTTTTCTTTTTCTTTTTTTTTCTTTTTTCTTTCTTTTTTTTTCTTGCTTGCTTGCTTCTTTCTTTCCAGATTCTCTTTGCTATTCATTTCTTTTTTTTTTTTTTTTTCTTTTCTTTTTTTGTCTTTCTTTTTCTTTTTTTTTTTCTTTTCATTAGACTTATCCTTAATTTTTCTTTTTCATTCATTTCCAGATTTTCTTTCTTTTCTTTCTTTTTTTTTTTCTTTCTTTTTTTTCTTTCTTTCTTTTTTCTTTTCTTCTTTCTTTTCTTTCTTTCTTTTCTTTCTTCCATTTTTCTTTTTTAGATCATTTCTTTCTTTCTTTTTTTCTTTTTATTTTCTTTTTTTTTTTTTCTTTCTTTATTTTCTTTTTTTTCTTTTTTCTTTCTTTTCTTTCTTTTTTTTTCTTTCTTTCTTTTTTCTTTTCTTTCTTTCCATTATTTTCCATTTTTTTCATTTCTTTCTTTCTTTTCTTTTTTCTTTATTTTTTTTTTTTTTTTTCTTTTCTTTTCTTTCTTTTTTTTTCATTTTTTTGTTTTTTCTAGTTCCTTTCTTTTTTCATCTTCTTTTTTCTTTCCATAATTCCTTTTCTTTCTTTCTTTTTTCTTTTTTCTTTCTTTTCTTTTTTTCTTTCTTTTTTCTTTTTTTTACCTTTCTTTTTTATGACTCTTCTATTAAACTGTCCATTTCTTTTTTTCTTTTTTTTAGCCTCTCTTTCTTTCAACTTGACCAAAATAGTTTTCTTTCAGATTCTCTTTTAGATTTGTTTTCTTTTTTTCTTTCTTTCTTTCTTTTTTTCTTTTTTTTTCTTTCTTTGGAATTTTCTTTTTTAGTTTTCTTTTGTTTGTTGCTTTATTTCTTTCTTTTCTTTTTTTTTCTTTCTTTTTTTTTTTTTTTTTTTTCTTTTTTTCTTTTGTTTCTTTTCTTTTTGTTTTTTTCCTTTCTTCCTAAACCTTCTTTCTTTTCTTTCTTTCTTTTTATATTTCTTTCTTTTTCTTAGTTTCCTTTTCGTTTCATTCCAGCGTTTTTTTTCTTTCTTTCTTTCTTTCTTTCTTTCTTTTTTCTTTTGTTTTCTTTCATCTTTCTTTCTTTCTTTCTTCCAGTCACCTTTCTTATTCGATTTGACATCTCTTTTTTTCATCCCTTTTCTGATTCTTCTTTAATTAAAAAACGTTTTTGTTTTTTCTTTTCTTTTTTTTTTTCTTTTTTTTTTTTCTTTTCTTTCTTCCAATTTTTTCCGCCAAATCAGATTTTTCCCTTAAATAACGTTCATTTCTTTTTCTTTCCTTTAATTTCTTTTCCCAAAAAGAAACCCCCCTCTTATATTTTTAATCGTTTATTTTCTTTCTATTTTTTTTTCCTTTCTTTCTTTCTTTATTTTCTTTCATTTAAGATTTACATTCGTTTTTAATCTTCTTTTTTTTTCCAAAATTCAATTTTCTCCTCAGCTACGCAATGCAAATTCACAATTTCTAGCTTCGCACTTCACCAATAAATTCTTAAATGCGTCTGTAAAAATCACCTTATCAAACTTCAACAGCAAATTTTGTTTAATCATTTCACTATTAAGGAGAGAGGACAATAAAAGAACAGGGATCAAGAAGACAAAAGATAACGATTGACATTACATTTAAATTTTTGAAGATCAATGTTGACTGGGAAGTAAAAGTCCGAAAGAGAGTTCCACGGGAGAAAAGTACGATAGAAAAAATATTAGTATAGAACTTATTCTTACAACTAGCTATTTCAACAGTAAATTAATGAGCTCATTTTTCCTTTCCTCTTGATCTCAGATTTAATTGTTTGAATCTTTTTTTTAATACCATTTCCTCTATAACAAATTTTCATCCTTGCTCACATGTCCGCTCAACGGTAAAATTCTCAGTGTCCTTCAGCAAATTTTGTAGAATCATTTACTTTCTGTTGCTTAAAAAGAACTCTTCTTCAGACAAAAGATGATTGGAGATTGTCCAGCAGATCAATTGACTGCCATATCCGGGAGGACAGGTATTACGATAACAGTTCAGTACTCTTTTCTGAGACTTTCTCTTGAATGGTCTTTTTTACCATTGTTTTATAACTTCATCCTTTTTCACATGTCTTCTTCTTCAGTATCTTCTTAGAATGATGGCTGGAGATTGTCCAGCATTCACCAGCATTCATATAGGAGGACTGATATTACATAACAGTTCAGTACTCTTTTCTTTGTTTCTTTTGCTTCAAGTCTCTTCTTCATCTGTGAGGAGATTGTCCAGCATTCACTGCCATATAGGAGGACTGATATTACATAACAGTTCAGTATTCTTTTTCTTTTGTTTCTCTTGCTTCAAGTCTCTTCTTCATCTGTGAGGAGATTGTCCAGCATTCACTGCCATATAGGAGGACTGATATTACATAACAGTTCAGTGCTCTTTTCTTTGTTTCTCTTGCTTCAAGTCTCTTTCTTCATCTGAGAGGAGATTGTCCATCATTCACTGCCATATAGGAGGACTGATATTACATAACAGTTCAGTACTCTTTTTGTTTATTCTATTGCTTCAAGTCTCTTCTTCATCTGTGAGGAGATTTTCAAGCATTCACTGCCATATAGGAGGACTGATATTACATAACAGTTCAGTACTCTTTTTTTTGTTTCTCTTGCTTCAAGTCTCTTAATCTGTGAGAAGATTGTCCAGCATTCACTGCCATATAGGAGGACTGATATTACATAACAGTTCAGTACTCTTTTTTTGTTTCTCTTGCTTCAAGTCTCTTCTTCATCTGTGAGGAAATTGTCCTTCATTTGCTGCCATATAGGAGGACTGATATTACATAACAGTTCAGTATTCTTTTCTTTGTTTCTCTTGCTTCAAGTCTCTTCTCCTTCTGTGAGGAGATTGTCCAGCATTCACTGCCATATAGGAGGATTGATATTACATAACAGTTCAGTACTCTTTTCTTTTTGTTTCTCTTGCTTCAAGTCTCTTCTTCATCTGTGAGAAGATTCTCCAACATTCACTGCCATATAGGAGGACTGATATTACATAACAGTTCAGTACACTTTTCTTTGTTTCTCTTGCTTCAAATTTATTCTTTATCTGTGAGGAGATTGTCCAGCATTCATTGCCTTACACAAGAACTGATATTACGCAACAGTTCAGTAGAATATTTTTGGGAATATTTAAATATAGAATACCAACGATCCACTTTCACTATTTTAGACGTCGTAAAAACCATATTTCTGTTGCTTCAAGTCTGTTCTAATTTATTACACAAACTCTAGTGTCGATGCTTTCTAAAAAAACTACAATCTTACCTTCTGTAAATTTTGTCTTAACATCACATCCATCTCAATCTTCTCTTGCTAGTTCTTCCTGTTAAGTTCATACCACAAACCCCATTTAGTATTTCTCTGTCCTGAGTGGCTCTTTTATTAGATTACCAAATCTTTATACGAAATATATTGTCTTGTATTCTTCTTGCTTTATGTACTGTCTATCTTCGGGATGTTGTCGATCATATATCACCAAAACTTCGTTTAAAATTTGATTCATTAATCTCTCTCTTTGTATGAATTCCCAAAAACTTATTCAATAAGTTACTCTTCAACTTTCCCACCTATTTGTACATCTATATGACGTGTGAGTGTTAAAATTTCCAAACCCTCTTTCCTCATTATGTTCCACATAAATGTCAGCTGTCTTTTATGGTAAAAATTAGTGACTTTTTCGTTCTTATTTTCCTTAAACAATACCATATTCTACCAACCATGCT